CAAAAAGTCAACTCCGATGCGGGGAATCGAACCCCGAGCTGCTGTGATATCTCAATGAGAGACAGCGATGTTAGCCATTACACCACATCGGATCTTGTTGGAATGATGTCAATGTTACAGCGTTGTCACGTCTTTGCTAGTTCTTGACAAAGTTGAACCCGAACCGCAATAGAAGCCTGAAACTTACAGCCTCTCGGTGAACGAACCGGAATTCCAAGCTATTGTAAGGAGTAAGTGCGAAATGATAATCACCGCTAACCAGGAAGAGTGGTTAGTAATAAAAGTTTATCAACCCCTCTCCTGTCTGATCGGGACATGCCCAGAATTCGACATGTCTAAAATTGCGAAACTCCGACAACCTTGAACACTGAAACCAATCTTCACTGAGAAAGGGAACATTAAGGAACTCCATCCTCCTGACAACATTGGAGTGTATCACGAGAAAAGAAAAGAACTCCACTTGGGCCCTAAAAAGGACAGCGGCAGGCCCGTGGAGTCTCTTGGCCGCATCGCCGGGAAACTCGGACGAGCACGATTTATTCCTAGGCAGAATCATCCAGGGATCTCAAGCAAGTTCCCCTGCCCATCCCTCAAAGGGCAGTGATGCATCCCTTGAAGGGCTCGACTTTGGATGCCCTTTGATCCGCATCATCATTCGGTCAATATCTTCGGAGACTAGGCGAAGTCTTCTTGAGTTGGTGTCTGTCGTACGGGCTCATCTCGAAGATTCCAGTCTGAAATTCGGTCATCGAGACGGCTTCCTTCAGCATGTCCTTGTCGGTCGCCTGCGGCTGAGTTGTACGTGCTTCTTTGGGCTTTGCTAGGTGCCTGCCTGGGGCTTGACCAATGGTCCTGTCAAGCCGGGCGCAGTAATGGAAAGCCGGCTCCTTGACCGGCGTCACAAATGCGATCGGATTGATTTAGTTCTTGGTTTTCTTTTGGGTGATTGAGCAATCTCTTTCACCATCACTGGATTAGGCGAATTCATCAAGCTAGGTGCAGTCTGCCTTGTATTTCTTCTTCTTGGCATTTTGGAATCTGGCGTGCATGGTCAGACTTCTCTCGGACTCGTCGGCACTCTCTGGGCCATAGCATCTGAACAAGTTTCTCTTGTTGTCGAGATTTTGCAGCAGACCTACCAGAGCCACCTCCCTATCTGGCCGGTGGCTCCTCGAAAATAATGAGTCTGGCATCCGCCAGGTCTAGGCTAGATGGGGGGGAAATCCGGCACTCAATGAACGATATCTCCCCATGGATAATGGTTGATGTCTCTCCACGTAGAAAATGCACGACACGCGTCATTTGGACGTCGTCTGGCATCCTCGAGTGCACCAGGGTGAAGTTTTCACTACCAAGAACACGCTGTAACTTCTGTGCTTTGGCAATGCTCCCGGCGATTACAAGAGTCAATACTATCTATGTTAGTATATACGTAAACAATGTAAAGGACAGTGAGATTTACCTGTGCCGGCCTCTTCCACAAGTTTTCTAATATCCTGGTTTCTGGTTGACACCGACGAATGCACGTGGTTAATGTTTCCCCTCCTCCGAGTGTAGCGGTTGAAACCCGCTGTTCCAAAGTCGGGTTCCCAGGACGTAACGTAATCCGGAATCTCGACATTCGTGTTTGAAATTACTACCAATTGTGGTAGGGCAACAGCAAGTCTCTCAATGGCCATCTTGCAATGGTCGCCACTTCCTGTTGTAGGGTCGAGTAAAGTATGGCCACCATCTAGAATGACCACGCCCACCTGGTTGGGAATAATCGCATGATCGCGGATACCTGCTACAAGTTTGCCAGGGGTCGTTATGACGAGCCTGGCGACGACGCACCTACCCGAGTGTGTAGTGGGTGAGGTACAAAGTACCAGATCCAAAGAGACGTACCACCTGAATCAGGTCATCGGAATTCTTTTCGATCAGCGCTGCAATCTCTGCGGCTTGCTTCGCCGCCTCCTTGGTTTCTGTCACAAAGATGGAGCCACGAGTCGAAAAGAGCTTCGAGGCGCCGAATCATCTCATCGGTCCATTCCTTCTTTTGATCGTCGATATGGACACTCGTGGCTGCATCACAGCACTCCCCATGGCGCCTTGGACTGGTGTCGAGATCCTCAAAGTGTCGATATAGTATCAACCTTGTAGCCGACGGCGGAAACCCACGCCGCGCCGGGGGGAACTGGCAGAAAGGATAGGAGCTGGAGGCGAGGACATGACACAAGGATAGTGGCGAGTTATAAATTGAGATCACCTTCTTTCTGGGCTTCGGGACTTTCCAGGCGTTGGTGGATGTATGAAGAGTGAGGATGGATGGAGGAGGAGGAGGAAGAAGAAGAAGAAGAAGAAGAAGGAAGATGGATGGAGGAGGAAAAGAAAAAAAAAATAAAAAAGAGGAGGGGGAGGAGCCTTTTTATGTTGCCAGAGAGGGTGGGAGGACGAAGGTGAAGAGGACGAATGGTCTCGGATTCAATGGCTGAGAGATTCTGCTTCATTCATTGATGGACAATGGTGAAATTATCCAGGTGCTGCTGCCTTGAATGTTTTAGGGCCAGCTTCATTCATCAAGCATTATGGCTTTCTACACAACAACCGCTCGAACCTCTTTTCTGCTACATTAACTGTAGCTGGCAGTCTCCCAGGCTTTGACTTGAATCAAGTCAATACTATTCCTAAGTGGAACTTTCCCACCCCCGCCTGGATTGGTTGCAAGGAGAGATCGCGTACTTTGCTGCGGTAGCAACGGACCAGAGGTTACTACACTTGAGGAACTACTGAAGAAGGATCTTCTTTTCGAGTGGGGGTTCTACCAACCGATCTGAATTTCGACAAACTACGAAGTCGAAGGTTCATCCCCAGCGGTCCACTGACAAGAGCAATGGCAAGCAAACAAACGCGTGACGGGCATATCCATCCTTCAGATTCGATGCACACCAGCTCACCGGACTCGATCCGTGGTAACCTAGCTGCGTGAGGAGTACTACGCGAACAGGAAGAACAACGAAGTCTGATGAAGAAGATATGAAGTCAAAACCCGGCCCTGGTTGGGCGGCGCGTACCTTCAGTCGTGATTCTATGTCCACCAGATGAGCGGACTCGATCCGTGGTATCCCGGATGGGCGAGGAGTATTACACCGATGAGGAAGGATGAGAAGTCGACCCTCCAGCGCAAGTCTGCGGCGATGCCTTCAGGAAATGCAGGGTTTTTTCTGGCGGTAAAGGGTCATTTAAAAGAACTCTTGTCTACGACGGTGGGCGACGCATGCCATTTTGCAAGAATCTCAAGTCTGCCGATGATAAACCATACCTTGCCAATACCGCCTTATCCTTGCTATCTCAAAGCGCAACCATCGGGCTTGAAAGAAGCTACTCGACTAATACAGAATAACTGCATCAGAATCAGAAGGGTTATCACGGCCAGTAAGGTGTTTTAAGTCGAAGGTATTGCTACATCAGGGTTCTTTACTAAGGGATACTACATGTATATAATTTGAGACATTGGGATTATATCTGGGTAGATTATGTAGTGCATTCAAGCTATCTATCAATCAAGCCAGGGAAATTGGTCTGTCTGGTCTTTGCGAATCGGCCAGATTGTCATTCTGGCCCAGTGGGCACTGTACGTGGGCTTTCCTGATTTCTATGGAGACAATCTTCTATGATAGCTGATGAGTTTTCTGATCAGACGCGGGTTATCCTACTTATCCTACTTATCCTACTTATGAGAATCAGACTCTCGCGATTATCATTTTGTCTCCTTTTAGTTTGCGATGGGCCGCCCAACTGTTTTATGTATTCTGATATAGTTTCTTATCCTCGAGGACAGCGATGCCAAACAATTGGTTCAGTCCCTGCCCAGTAGCGAGGCAGGGCGGGTAGTACCGTGGAAAACATACATCTACATATATGCAAACACCAGAAGCGTGGCCACGGCTACTTTCCCCAGTCTTAAGGATGGAATGCGAATACAGATGAAGTGAACTCGGCTCACAACTGAATTATGACATGCGATACCCAAAGTCGCGCTGGTAGTCTATGGAACTTTAGAAAGAAAACACTCGACCTTGTCTCCTCTTCCCAACAGGCCCTTGCTCATTCACGTGTAAACAAAGCCGACGGAGAGAAAAGAAAGAAAAAAGAAGCTACTCTGTGAAATGTCATGATCTCATCAATCTAATCAAATTCCATCGGCTTCGTTTCCCCACAGAGAAGAGCCGAAGGCCAAGGAACACGGGAAAAGAGAACATTGGACATGGGAATCTCAAAGCGTCCGGATGGAAATGGTAATAGAAAGAAGAGAAATGCAAGCAAGAAAAAGAAAAGAAAAGAAAATATCCATTGTCATCTTCCGAATTCTTCAGTGCAAACGCCATCGCAAGTGTCAATGTCATCACATGAGAAACACAAAAACAAAACCGAGCAACGGCACCAGGGCAGAAACCCCCCACATGGTATCATAAGCGAATCTCAGAAAGCCCCAGCGCATCATCATCATGCATCTACTACTGTCCCTCTCCGGGAAAGGTTTACTGAGAGGCGCACTGCACGCGCTCAGCACCAGGAGGAACATCATCGTCATCCTCGTCCATGGAGTTGGCAGCTCCATGGGCGCGCGCCTGGGAGTAATCGCTGCCGTCAATGTCTTCAATCTCGAAGTCCTCGACCATGGCATCAGCCGCGGGCTTGGGCTGCTCCAAACGGGGAGGCAGGACCTGTTCGAGCAACTCGAGGTTCTTGAGCTGGTCCTTCTCAGGGAACTTGACGTCGAACTGGATGTAGAGGTTGCCGAAGTCGTGGTGGCGGTAGGAAGGCATACCCTGGCCCTTGATGACCTTGATAGCACCTGCGGAGTTTGTCAGTCAAGGAGCCGCACAACGGGCTAAGCTGGGAATACTAACCGGGAGTGATAACCTCGCCAGGGGCGATGTTGACGGTCAACCAGCGCTCATCCAAGTGCTCAATGTTGATGGTGCCACCGGCGAGAGCGGTGAGCAGGTCGATCTCAGCCTGGTAGAAGAGATCGTCATCCTTGCGCTGGAAGCGAGGGTGCGGCTTCTGCTCGATCTCAAAGACCACATCACCGGGCATCACGCCGGGCATCTGGTCACCCTCACCGCGGAACTCGATCTTCTGTCCGTTCTTGACGCCCTTGTCCACGTGGACGTGGAGGACCTTACGCTCGACCACGGTCTTCTTGCCGTTACACTTCTTGCAGCGATCCTTATCGCGGATGATCTCGCCCTCGCCGTTACAGTCGGGGCAGACGGTCTGGAAGCGCTGGATCATGGGACCCATCTGGCGCATCATCGTCTTCATGCCGCTGCCGTTACAGCCCGTGCAGGACTTGACAGCACCCTCCTTACCACCGCGACCGTCACAGCCCGCGCAGATGACGGACTTCTGCAGAGCCAGCTTCGACACCTTACCGCGGTAGATGTCCTCCAGGTTGACCTTGTGCACGTGGTGGATAGTGCGGGCTTTCTTGGGGCCCTGGTCGCGCATGCCGCCGCCGAACATGCCTCCGAAACCACCGCCGCCGCCGAAGAACTGGGCGAACAGATCCTCAGCGCCCATACCGCCGCCGGCACCGCCATGCTCGAGACCCTCCTCACCGAGCTGGTCGTAGAGGGAACGCTTCTGGGGGTCGGACAGGACCTCGTAAGCGTGGGACAACTCCTTGAACTTCTCGGCAGCTTCAGGGTTGTTGGTGTTCTTGTCTGTGGGTGTAGGAACACTGATTAGTGCACCGAACGAGGTAACTGGCGCAATCGCGACTGTGGAAGCACATACCAGGGTGATACTTCAAAGCACCCTTCTTGTAGGCAGTCTTAAGTTGGGCCTCAGTGGCCGTGGGGGGGACCTGTCCGTCTCGCTGTTAATCCGCAAGTTTCAAACCAGAACTCAAATTTGCAGAAAAACGTACCCCGAGGGTGTCGTAGAACTTGGTTTCCTTGACCATTTTGATCTAAATCTGAAAATTTGAGGGGATGGAAGAGGGGGGGTATCGAGTGATGTCGAAATCAAAGAACTTTTCGGAGGAAAGTGAAAGGCGAGGGAAATTCAGTCGGCAAGTCTACAGCTGAGGGTATTGAAAAAAGCGACGAAGGGCGAAAACGGGGATCAGAAGCGCCGGTTTTCGAGCAAGGAAGCGCGCACAGCGACGAGAAGTGAAAGAGAGGGGGTGGATAAGGGTGAGAGAAAGCGGAGGAGAAGACGAGAGGAGAGGAGAGAAAGTGGGATAAGAAAGTTGTTGAACAGAGAGACAAGACAACTCGTTCGGGATTATCAAAGCCAAGGGAGTAACAGCAAGCCTCAGGCGGCGAAAGAAAAGAGGCGGAGTTTTGGTCACTGGTAAATTACCGGTAACAGGCACCAAGTTTGCCAAGCGTTGCGGGCGATCTCAGGGATTTTGATACCGGAGATACGATGTGGCGAAAGTCCGGAAGTATAGAAAATTATGATAAAAAAATTACTTTAGTATTAAGGAGATGAGGAGGATTGAACTGATGAACTCATGAACCGAGAAAGAACTAAGAAAGATAGACAACGTAATCATTCCTTCCAGACCAGACGCAACCAGGCTGCTTTTGAACCAATTGAGAGGGCGAGAATAGTGAGTAGGTGTCTTATCCTCAGACTGAATGATGATGTTCTCGTTGTTTCGACTGCCCCGTCATCCGCCGCTTTGCTGGCCCGAGCGCGCCTGGAAGAGGTTCCATGGCTTTCGGTCCACTTCCATCGCTTTCCATCACTTTCCATTCCTTTCTGCGGTAGCAATCAGGCTGTCCAGGTTGGTAATCTATACTTCAGCTCTACTTCTTTTCATGTGAAGATGGTCCGCATTGATCATCAAAGGGGTGCTCAATCCTAAAATTAGATAGTAATCCCATACGGACCGACAATAGTTCTCACAATCAAGAATATTATCATTAAACCAGTAAGTTATCCGTACTGTAAGTGTTGCAGGACCACTGCAAAAATTGGCAGGCCTGTTGACGACCACACCGCTGAACCAGGAGCCAATCATGTGGGGACTGGATGTTGGTTGTCAGGCAGAAAAGTCTTAAGGAGGTAATGAAAATTCCGGGCCGACTGTGGCGCTACCGCCACCTCAGGCTCACCACAACACAGCCTGGCTATTCTAGATTGGGCAATATACCTGTCAGTTAGGGCTCAATGCTTTAACTCCTTCTCTACAAGAGGATAGCACATTTCCTACTACCTTGTAGATGGGAGGTTGAAAGACTGAGCTGGTCTTGTACTCTGCCAGTGACGTGTGTTCAGCCTTCCAACCCCAGATGATACATCCTATCACTCGCTTGCACACTACCATGTGAACTTGCGCGAGGCTACGTCTTCAAGCAACTCCCATAACACGATTGGAGAATTGTCATGCATTATACGCTATGCCAAAACCGACTATCTAGATACAAATGCAAGGAAGAGACTCGTGAGTCCCGTGCCGCTTCCACATATGCTCATGTACAATTCTAGAACAGACGCAGAAAGAAAAAAAAAAAACCCTTGACGGCGCAAGGTGCTTACCCCATCTACTTCCTCCCCCACTTCTTCACGCGGAACACATAGTAAAGAGCAATGGCCGCCGCGACGTTGAATCCCCAATAACACCAGAAGATGCCATAGTTCCGCCATCTCTCATCCCAGTAGATCCACCGGAGCGCCAGATACTGGTCCGCGGAGGACATGGAGCAATACTCGCAGCCTGCGGTGGCGTTGGAGTTGTACAGCTGACCCCCGGCGGCGGAGACGTAGCGATCCAGGTACTGACCGCAGGTCTGGCCGGCGGGCGGGTCGAAGACACTCAGCTCCGCCGCGTTGCACTCCACCGAGCGGCCGTGGAGGATGGTACTGCTCATGCCGCCGATGTAGTAGGTGAACGGGGAGACGCGGTACATGAAGATCCAGAAGCCGGGGAGATCACCCGGGGGCTGCATGACGCCGTTGAAGATGAAGGAGAAACCGAACATCAGAGTGGCCAGCATGGCGGCGAGGGTGGGCTCGCCGATCGCGCAGACGACCAACTGGGCCATGCTGGATGCATAGATGAAGAACTGGACGATGAACAGCAGGGCAAGGCCACGTCGCTCGGCGTCCTGGCCGGTACCTATCACCGTCCAGTAGTAGCAGGCCCAGGAGCAGATGCCCAGAACAATCTGCCAAGGGATCTCGACGAGCACCTGTGAGATGATGAAAACCTTCCACGAGTAGACTCGCGAGGGTCGCTCGCGGACCTCGTAGAGAGCACGCTGCCGGACGAATTTGGGCATGATCTGGTTGACTAGGGTGTTGAAAATCGTGCAGAGCAAGAAGATACTGAAGAGAGTGTTCTGGAACCCCTGCTGCGTGTTGTTGGACTTGAAGAAGGAGAAACCGATGAAGAGACCGGAGATGATGCCGAGCACGTACTTCGAGAACAGGTACTCGGGCTGGCGGTAATATTGCTGGAACACTCGCTGCAGGACGTAGTAAAGCTGGCTGGTCAGCGGCATCGCGAACTCCGCGTCGCTGTCATCACCGGGGTGCGTCTGGGGCTCCGGCTGTTGCTGGGCATCCTGGAGCCGGGTGACCTCGGCGTGGACCGCCTTGAACTCGGGGCTGTCGTTCCAGACCTGCACCCAGTCGGGTCCCTTGGTGTTATCCCCAGAGACAATTTCGAGAATGTATTCAGCCGGGTTCTCCAAATCGCCGCAGGTTCGACCGCCGTTGCGTTTGAAGTAGTCGAGCAGGATCTGGGAGTTCGGGCCGATATCACCAAAGTAGACGGTCCGGCCTCCCTTGGCGAGGAAGAGCAGGCGATCAAATGTCTGGAAAAGCAGGGCACTCGGTTGATGGATCGTAGCCAGCACTGCTTGCCCGTGGTCCGCCAGTCGTCGCAGAAGCGAGCAGATGGTCCAGGAGCTCTGAGAATCCAGACCGCTGGTGGGCTCATCCAGGAAGATCAGAAGCGTCGGCTTGGCCGCTAACTCAACACCGATACTGAGTAGTTTTCTTTGTTCCACGTTCAAGCCCTCGCCCAGTGAGCCTACCACAGCCTCGGCAAAGTCTTGCATGCGCAGGATCTTGATGACTTCTTCCACGTACTCGAACTTCTCTTCCTTCGGCACAGACCGGGGCTGGCGAAGCATCGCGCTGAACCGGAGGGCTTCACGAACGGTGGTGGTTTCCAGGTGAAGATCCTGCTGCTGCACGTAACCGGTTCTCCGGGGGAAATTGGCCGCCAGCGGTCGCCCGTTGACCACAACATCACCGGTCACCACGCCGATGGAGACTCTTTGAGCAAGAACATCCAAAAGGGTGGTTTTACCGGCGCCCGAAACACCCATCAGTGCCGTTAATGTGCCAGGCTTGACCCATCCGTTGACGTTGTCCAGAAGCCGTCGTGTACCCTCTTTGACCGGGATGTCGTAGTTGAGGGCTTTCCATGAGAGGATGTCTGTTTGCTCAGGAAGATGGATGACTTCGTCCTCGTTGCTTTGTAATTCCGGCTTCGGGGGAGCTGCCTTACCACCTTCCACTCCCTCCGAGGCGGCCAAAAACTGAGGGACGTGACCCGGGCGGAAAACCAGAGTCTCTGCCTTGGATGACTCGCCGGTGTTGATTTCCGAGAAGAACAAGCAGGTGCAGGTGAAGAAGATCATGAAGGCGAGGAGAATCCCGAAATTCCTCCAGATGTGGGAGTAGTAATACTCGTAATTCTGTTCAATAAAGGCATCGCCGGAAACGTAGCGTTCGCCAGCTACGGCTCCCACAGCTGAACAGATGAATGAAGACCCCGTACCATAGCTTGGGATCACCGATGCACAAGGGAAGTTCCGCCCATGAAACTCATTAGACACCAATGCCTCGAAGGCATAGAAGATCGGGTTGATCCAGCGAATCCAAGAGAGCCATGGGTGCATGTAGGGTTGCGGTAGGGTGAAGCCGGTATAGACCACGATGCAAAGAATCATCACACCTGCCATTGCCATAGCTTGCGTAACCGTCTTGGTAGCTGCAGCTAATGTCCGGAAAATTCCCGACATCGTCAGGATCGCCATAATGAGAAACAGGTAGTAGATGAAGAACTGTGACGGTTCCCGACGCAGGTTGGTCATGAAGTAGAGGACGATACAAAAGACGGAGCAGCGCATCAACTTGATTGGTAGGTCCATGATTATGCTGGCGAGGGATTCGGCAAATGGGTGGACAAACGCATAGCCTGCCTGCTTCGAGGCAATCGGCCTCTGGCTGTATAGTTGCATGATCTCATTCATCGTAACCAAAGCGTTCATGAGGACGGAAAAATACAAGACAGCGCCTTTCTGGAAGAAAGCGGTGGTTGTGTTGGGCGAGTTGTAGAAGATGGATCCAATAACCAGAGACAGGATAACTTGAACGATGACGGTGGACATTGCCGTGGGAAGATCATTGCGGAGTCGCTGAAATGCTCTGCGCAGACAGAGACGCACCTGCATCGGGACGGATAGAAGGTATGGACTTTGAGCTCTAGTATGGCGCGCTTGCCGCTCTTCGTGGTATTGCTTGAACTCTTTAGCTTCGTCGGCGTCGACTGGGTGGTCGCGTTGATATTGCTCTATCTGAGCGCAGAGCTCTTTGTATTCGGAGCTGCGCTTCCAATAATCGGCGAATTCCTGAGGGGTGCGAGGGACCTTGTCGACCATGTCTGGACGTGCCCTGCGTTCCCCAGGGTTAGTGATGGACGTGAGAAAATCGCCACTAACTTGACGTTCTGGCAGCTCCCATCCCATCTCCTGGAAGAAGGCCACAGCGCGATCACTAGGGCCGTAGTAGATCTCGTAGCCTTCATATAGAAGGACGACCTTATCGAACAGGTCGTACATCGACTGAGATGCCTGGTAGGCGGCAACCGCATGGCACGACTGTCCAATATCGGCAGAAAGGCGTAAGGACTTGACGAGCTTCAGGGCAGACGCGGAA